TTTGGATTGCAAAAGAGGGTCCCTGTTGAGATCCAAATGGATTTTAAATTTCCCGGAATTTGCAAATCTCCTAAGAGCCACAGGGCCAGAAGGAGGAAGATCCTGCCTACAAAAGATATCCTCTCCACTGTATACCATCTTAACTAAAGACTGAAACAACACGCAGGCATCTGACTAACATCTCCAATTGCTTTTTCTCCTGTTTGGTTTGTAACATCTTTCCTGATGAAGAAGCCCATGGAGCTTCGAAAGCTTGCAACAAGTATATTGTGCATTTTGGTTGGCCAATAAAGGTATCACTGAAGGGTTTTCTTGGTTAGATTTATTCAGAGGAGGTTTGCCGTTGCCTTTCCCTGAGGCTGAGAGAGTGTGACTCGCCCAAGGTTGGCCAATAAAGGTATCACTGAAGGGTTTTCTTGGCTAGATTTGTTCAGAGGAGGTTTGCTGTTGCCTTTCCCTGAGGCTGAGAGAGTGTGACTCGCCCAAGGTCACCCAGTGGGTTTCCATGGCTAAGGTGGGATTCGAACTGTGGTTCCTCAGAGGCTGCATCTGCACTGCAGAATTAATGCAGTTTGGCCCCACTTAAACTGACACAGCTCAACGCTATGGAACACTGGGATGTGTAGTTTTGTGAGGCATGTAGCCTTCTCTTTTAAGAGAACTTGGTATCACAACCAACTACAAATAATAATAATAATAATAATAATAATAATAATAATAATAATAATAATAAATATTTATTCCCAGGATTCCATAGCATGGGGCCCATGCCAGTTAAAGTGGGGTCAAACTGGATTATTTCTGCAGTGAGGATGCAGGGCAGGTTCCATCAGACTCTTTCCCAGGCCTCTAAAAGGCATTACAGAGTCCTTCTGATGACCATCTGCCTGAAGTGACCTTCTCCTCATGGCGGTGCCAACGATACCATTGAGCTTTTCCCTCACTCTCGGTGCGTCAGCTAATGGATCCGTCCGGGAGCAAGAGTCCCCCTTCGAAGGTTCCGGGCAGCTGACGTGGCAGAGAGGAGGCTTGGCTAATTAATGATGCTTCATTAAGAGCATGCAGCGCTTGTTTGTCAAGATGGGATGCAGCAGCCTCAGCCAAGGCTTTCAGTTATTGCTAGGCGGTGTGAGTAACCCTTTAAAAGGACTACAGAGAGAATAATAACAACAACAACAAC